CTCTGTAGCACATTTTTACCTAACCTGTTTTGTTATAACTGTACTTTCCAAATACCTATAAATGACCAGTTTCTCAAAATGCACTTTGAACCAGCTTTACCTTCTTAGTAGTTTCCTCATTAATTAGTTATTAAATTTTTGACCCATCATTATTTTTATGAGAATCATGTTTTTAATTTTTTGAAAATTATACTTACACTGGGAAGATAATTAAACTATCCGAAGGCCCATAGGACATCACTTAATAAATTAATATTTATGAAGATTTCATGGTAGCAAAGAGACCAGGAAAGTTAATGCTCTACCTTTACAGATGATCATAGCTTATATACAAATAAAAAGTTACATCTCCTTTTCAACTGGTCTTTTTGCATATCCTTTGGTCTTGTGAAAAGCAGGAACACAGAACAATTCTGAAAGTACTCCCCATCAGCTATGGGCTAGGCTGTGATTGATCAAAATAGTACGTAAGTAAAATCAGGTGGATGCCCATGCTAGAACCAGTGTTCAGCATGCACTGCTTTCACTGCCTCTGCATAAGGTATTTAGTTGATAAGGAAGTTCCAAACTTTCAGAAGCACATGACTGAACTGAGATGATTTGTTGGTCATTTTGGATTTAGTCATAGAATACCGGAAACTTTTCCATTTTGAACATTGATTATTTATCACAATAATGACTCATTATTATTTGAGACTCTATATTTCATATGTGATATTAGTAATTAGTGAATAATTTGGGCTAAGACACCAGGCAGGCTGGCAGACAATATAGATAGATAGATCAATTGATTGATACACAGATACTTAATATACTTCTTAAGATAAAGGATGAATTTACATAGTAATTATTACTATAAATAAAAAGTATAGTAAACTGGCAAGAGAATAAACTGGTTTTAGCACTATAGAAACATCCATTTACATACAAATGACTGATATGCTTTTATAAATCATTATTTTGGGAAACTTAGTTACCCAAAATAAGGTCTGAGAGAATAGCATCTAAATTAGGTCTAAGTTTCCCAAAATAATGTATGTGTATGTACATGTAATGTATTTATTCACATAAGTAGTTTTTTTTTTAAACAATAGCTCATTAAAATACTCTTAACTCTCAGTGGAATAAAATAGCTTAAAAGCTCAAAGTACCTTATATAGATTAGTTCAGTAGTTGGTTTATAGTGGAGAAAGCAGTCTTGAAGAGGTTAAATTACGTGTTCAAGGCAGTGGTAATAAGTGACAGAGCTTCAATTAGAGCGTAAGTCTTCTTTCACTGTACCATTTTATCTGTACTGTACCATATAGAACTAATTAGAAAATATTTAATGAAAGTATGTGTAGGAACCTATTGCTTTGGTAGTGATAAGTGAACTCATGTTTGTTCAGAAATGTGGAATCACACTGTCAGCCAGAGTTCTTGGTCTTTATAGTTTGAGTTTGACTCAGACTCACTTTAGAGAATCTCCCTTTTCTATTTATTTCGATTCTATTGGCTTTAGCAGTTAGTTAGCAGGCCAGGAGGAGTAGTTCCTTCCTTATCCTTTGCTTTTTTTCCTTCCTCCTTCCTTCTTGTAGTACATGAAGATTTCTTTTTATCCACCAGCTTTGCTATTTCTTCATCTTCTCCACCATATGCATATTCTTTTTTTAACCCCTTCCCTATCTCAGTGGCTTCTTAAACTGAGGAGCAGAATGAAGATGTGCTATACCATCAAACACCAAAATTTAAAATAAATTATTAACTCTTGTTTGGCTTAAAATGGCTTGATTTTATTTAATTATCTGTGTTTATGCAGTACTGCTTTATTTTATTTTTCTTTATTGCAGACTTACAATGGATTTTCAGCTTCATTGTTACAACTATTTGTGAGTTAATTTAGCTTAGAAACAAACGTGTGAAGTTACAACTAAATTTCAGTAAATTTAAAATTTTTTCATCACTAGGACTTGAAAATGAAATTTAAATTTCACTCTTTCAGAAGTTTCAACAAAACTACATTTACAAGTCACTCTGAACTTTTAAAAACCATATTTAATATTTATAATTATACATTATTCTTATTTTATACTTTTATGAGAAAGATAGCCTTGTTTCTGTGTACTCCTTATATACTATCAATTAGATGCTGTATTGAGATTGAATATAGACTTGAGTATGAGGCATGAGTAATGAGTGCTTTATACACCTCTCAGAAACCTATGTTATTGCCCTTGGAAAAGAACTAACAACATTATTTCTAAAATCCAGTATCTGACTTGTTGCAAAAGTAGATATCAAATGTATGTTATATCTAACAAGGTTTTAAAATACTAGTTTATAGTACTTTTTAATGAAAAATAATTTTTGCATTATTTTGTTACCTTGTCAAGCAAATTTAATTATAGGAAATATTACCAATCAATAGATCAAAAATTATCTCCAGGCCAGGCATGGTGGCTCATGCCTATAATCCCAGTACTTTGGGAGGCCAAGGTGGGTGGATAACCCGAGGTCAAGAGTTTAAGACCAGCCTGGCCAACATGGTAAAACCCTGTCTATATTAAAAATACAAAACTAGCCAGGCATAGTGGTGCATGCCTGTAATCCCAGCTACTGGGGAGGCTTAAGCAGGAGAATCTCTTGAACTGGGAAAGCAGAGGTTGCAGTGAGCCAAGATTGCGCCACTGCACTCCAGCCTGGGTGACAAAGTGAGACTCTGTCTCAAACAAAGCAAACAAAAAAAATCTCCAAGCCTCGTTTAGTTAAGTAGTTTTCTAAACCAGTTTCTACCATCATCCCTTTCCTTTCAACAGAAAGGTAGTATAACCGGTAGTTGTACCCTACTCCACTCAGAAAATTGACTTAGCATGTCTTTCTTCTACTCACTGTCATTTTGGAAACTTTAGCAGTTTTTGGAAAATGTCAAGTTACTTCAACTCACCAAGAGTTTGGACCCCGTTAGAACAGTGTATTTATGTTCCAAGATCATAAGTGGACTTCTTTCCTCATTCCATCCAACTGTTTTTGTTCTGTTCTGGACTACAGATGCATATATTTCCACAGATCATCTTAAAAACGTATTATTTTCTCCATTATTAGCATTATTTTCTTACAGTCATTGTATGCAAGAACATAATTCCTAGAAAAACAAAGAATGTGTTCTGTTGATGATGACTTCATGACATTGACTTGTGTGACAACACACTGCTATAACTATTACGTTAGTCTGGCTAGTCAAAATCATGTACTCTTGACTATGTGAAGAAACAGTTTGTCCTGAAATAGCCACTGATTTGGCATTTATGAAAAATGGTGGTGGCTCAAGAGCCCAGAATAGGACTGTAAATAAGGAAAAATTTATTTTTCTCCATCAAGCATTCAGTGAACATGTATTTATTGAGCATCCATCATATTTAAAATATACTGGGTTTTAAAGGACATATGAACATGAACAGTGTCAGGTTACTTGAAATTTTGCAGGACAGGTAAGACATGAACAACATATATTTCTATAATTGTTAATTTTTAAAGTACATTTTGAAATTGGGTTATATTGCAGTCATACACATTTGATGCAGAACTAACCCCTTCTCAATACAAAGCTGTTGGGATCTGAACGTCAAGAAAATGTAGAAGGCTTATTGTAAGTTAGGAGTGGTAAAAGCCATATGAAAGGAACAGAAAAAGTGCCGTGGACATTCTTAAAGGAAGTAATTATTTCAGGCTCTAAAGATCAGACAAGACTTCATGGATAAGAGACAACATTTTTGCTGAACATTAGCATTTAAAAGTGGTGAAAGAGGCATTCTAGGGAAATGAAGTATGAGTAAAGGAACTGAGATCAGCAAGATCAGAGCAGAGAGGACAGTCAGGGGTTGCACTGGAATTAGAGTAGTGATAGGGAAAATGTTGGATTATTTTGAATGATAGGAGAAGGAATGTTGGCTTCTCTGAAACCAGAGGAGGCCATTGAAGCTCTTAGAAGGCCTAGGTAGAGAGAGATGTGATAGAGAGTACCCCTCAGAAAGATTAACCTAACAACAGTGCCTAGGATGGATTGAATATGGAAGAGACTGAAAGAGGGAAGACCATCGCACATCTAGGAGGTTTTTTGTGTACTCCAAGAAAGAGATCATTTTAGAACCTGAGCTGAGGTAGTAAGACATCGCTATGCCATTATCAGAAATAGGAAACTACAATAAAAGGAGGTTTGGAAGCAAAGCTTTAAAGACACATTTTTAATTTAGTTTTTGTAAAAATCAGAAAACTAGTGCCAGTGTTCTCATGACCAGATATAGTGATGTATGAATAGTACAAGTAGCTGGGGATGACAGGAAGTTAATGTCATGGAGTGGGAGAGTTGTTGCAGATTTAATGAACCCAATACTGTTTCTTCTAGCTGGATAATTTAGTAAACATTTGCAAGACTGTATTCTTTTGTGTGCTTTTGTAGAAATGTATATTTGTGAGAAAGCTGTGATTTGTTGCAAGCAAGTGTCACATTTTAGCTTGGGGTAATATAGAGAGATGAAGAGAAAGCTAGGAGATGTGGTTGTTAGTGTAAAAACTGTAGGCGAAAGAGCAGTTCAAGTTTTCAGAGAAATAAAAGTGTTGATAAATTTGAACAATTGTAAGCATCTTTCTTTTAATGTGTTACCAGTTACTTTTGCAATATCAATACATTGACATTGGGTCACAGTTTTTGTTTCTTATTTAGCAGTCCACTGTATATCAGGCACAAATATATACCAGTTCGTTATATATCAGGAACAAAACACAGTCCATGCCCTCTGGAACCTATATAGTAATGGAGAAAGATTTAATAAATAATAAATATAAAAGCATATTTTATCCCAAATCAGGATTAACTGTGTAGCCATATAGTGATTCTTAAATAGTATATGTGTAATGATAATGAAAATGAACTGTATTGATTGAAGTGTCAAGCTGTTTTATAATTCTTAAGTAAATACATTTCTGTCAAATGATGTGTTTATGCTTTGTTTGTATATCTATAGAGAGCAGATCATAAAACAGTCTACAGAATTAGTCTGCAGAGCCTATGGTGAAGTGTATGCAGCTGTGATGAATCCAATCAATGAATACAAAGATCCAGAGAACATTCTTCACAGATCGCCACAGCAAGTGCAGACGCTTCTTGCCTGATTATCTTATTTCATTGTGTTAGCAAAATATGGCCTTTCTAAAACACTGAAGATTATTTTTTATTCTTTGAATTTTTACTTTAAAATTTGATAGTTTTCTTTGTATCATAACATTGTGAGTCCCGATATTTTTTTTTTGTCTCAGTGACATGTTTACCTGAGTTTGTATTGCTGTGTATCTATTCTAAATATGAGATGCTCTATTTTTTTGTTAGCCATCTCTCCAGCTCTGCAGTTTCCCCTGTATTGAGGAAGCATAAAGTAGTATGAAAGGTTTGAAGAATTTTTTTTACAAGACTAGTTCTAAATTAACAGCATATAAAAATTCTGTCTAAATTAAGAATTAGTATAAGGATATGACCTAATAAATGTCTCCTTACCTAAAGATTCATTTGCTTTCCTATTAATATGAATAGTCATACCTAGTAGCTTTTCTGTACCTAGCCTATGTCTCTGTCCCCAAAATAGCTACCCTTAAAGAGTTGTTAGAAGAGAGAAAAATAACAGTGAATTGTGCTCCTGGTATATATGGCAGTGAATCTCATTCTTGTTCTACTTTAGCATACTGTATATATTTGACTGCATACATTTTTATGCAATTTTAAATATACACTCAGCAATGATGAGAAAAAAAGGAGAGCGAAAAGTAATTTCAATAGGGTGGATTCCACTCTGTGGGAGCCCTTGATGGAACTCAAGGTGGAGCGCAGCCTTTCCAATGACTTCTGGGCGTGTAGACAGCCTGAGCTGTGTCTAAGTCTGCTGTTTGAAGAAAGGTATTTGTCATACAATATGGGTCCCAAATCCAACCAACTGCAAATTTTATCTGGTGTTCAAACTAAAGAAACAATGATCTGTTCAAACACTGGAGAAAAAAAACTGCCAGAGGAGGAGTTGCCAGTGGGCAGTGTGTCTTATCTCCATGGTGTAACTGGACTCTTACTTTAGACCATTACCTGTTAGGAAGATTCAAAATGACTGTATTTTTAAAGGGATAAATCCCAATGTGCCTGATATGACATTCTTATCAGCAGAAAAAAGCTTAATTTCTAGTAGATCTATAAAAAGGAGTAAGTCCCTAAATTACAAATGAGAAAACTGAAGCACAAGGAAAAAAATAACTAGTTTGAAATATTTTGAAAAGTAATAGCATAAAACTAATATTTGTAGAAAATTATGTTGTATATGACAAATTAGTATTTATATGACCTTTTTGAAGTTTATACTTGTTTATAACTAATACAATTCTTTTTGGAGTCAGAATGATTATGTAATCATTACCCATTTAGGTATAAATCTGTATTTTTAGTCTTTTCCCTTCAATGAGTATGTGTTATATATAAAAGACAGAAAATAAAGTATAACTCAAGAACTTAAAATTTATATAATTTATTTCTACAGTGAAAAGATTCACACCTTGCCATGAGTGAACTCCTTTGTTTTATAGGAAAAAGTATATTTTGCTTTTTACCTGTTTTTTTTCAAATAAAATATTTCTAGAGCAGCAATCATTGCAGTTATCCTATAGATACATATCCTATTGACATGTTTTTAGAAAATGCACTAATAGAAATGGAAGTACAATATAGGGCAAAACTGAGGTAATGAGTGAAAGATTCACAGGCAAAATGTGCTATGTATGATCTTGAGAACTAAGGCAAAATAAAAACATTGCAAGTAGTAATCCATTAATGTAACACCTAACTTTGCTATTACTCCATTGTTTGTATTTTGAACCATTTTCATTTGGCATAAGTATAACCTAGAAAATGCATGTCTGCCCTTCTTTCAGAGAGGGAAGGTGATTGAATGGCAAAACCCTTATGTGTTTGAACTTTTCCATTTCTTTCTCTATGCCTTCACTTGAGCAGGTGGATATTACCTGAGGAAGAAGATGACACAAATGGACTGATTGACTTGACTCGAAATTCGTGATTACAGTGTTCAAATGGGCACTGCTATCGTTTGAAAAATGTTTCTCCAAATTCGTGTTGAAATCTTCACACCTGAGTGTATTAGGAGGTGGGTTTTTTGAGAGGTGATTAGGTTGTTGGGATGCAGCCCTCATGAATGGGATTAGTACCCTTACCCAAGAGGCTGAAGAGATCCCTGTCCTTTCAACCATGTGACGTTACAGTGAGAAGACAGCCATCAATGAGGAAGCGGGCCCTTACTAAATACCACATCTTTTGGCACCTTGATTTTGGGCTTTCCAGCCTCCAGAACAGGGAGAAATAAATGTCTGTTGTTTTTATAAGCCACTTTATTTGGGTATAGCAGCCCAAATGAACTAAGACAGACACTCAATATTGCTTTGTGATTCTACTCTGTTTCTTTGGCAAACTTACCTTTCCATGTTTCCAAAGGACTTTTTCATCCACATTCTCAGTTAATATCCTTCATAATTCACCAAGATTAGAAACTCTTATATAATCTTCCTCATTTTCCTATTCTCAAACATCACACCCATCTTCTCTCCTCCCTCGTTTTGCACTTGAGATGTTCTCTCTTTTTCTATGACAGGATATTCCCTTTATGCTCAGGCTTGCATTTCTCATCTTCTTATTAGAGTCTTCTCTTTTTGGATTATCCCTTCATTTTGCTTCAGCAACAACTGGCCTCTCTCTAGGATTATTCTCAATGTCATACATAATGTTGTAATGTTTATAATATTTTTTAAACCTCTCTACCTCTGAGATCCTAACACCTCCATTTCTCTGCTTCCTTTTCTGGTTTAGACATGCTGTCATCTACTTCCTCATTTCTCATTCTGTCTTTAAAGTATCCCTCTCACCACTACACTGAAACTTACCTGATGCACTTTTCATCGGTGCTATATGTTGTCAGAAGCAGATTCTTCTGTATCTCTATTTATTGAACTTTCAATGTCATTCCACACATTTCTGTTTGAAATTCTATCCTTTCCAGGCTTCCATGGCACCACTTTTTCCTGATTTTCTTTTCATTTCATTAGTCTAACCCTCTTTTGACCTTCTTCCCTGGGTCTTTTGCCTCTGTATGATTTCTAAATGTTGGCATACTCTAGGGCTTGATCCTGGATGCTTTTTTTTTTTAATCCTTCCTTTAGGGATTTATTACTTCAGCCCATTCTATCCAGAATAATGCTAAAGCTTAAGTGTCTTTAGATATATCCATATGATGGAGAACAGCAGTGAGAAAATGAAAGGTTTTCAAATACATAATGTTGAGGGAAAAAATCAGAATAATATAATACTTTAATAGAATTTTTAACAAAATGTAAAAAGATATATTATTCATAAATATACATATGCTAAATATGTAAGGAAAATATGGGAAATGATTAATACAGTTTAAGATTATGGAGAGGGAAGCACAGGATGTGTTGAAGTTACTGATAATGTTTTATTCTTATGCTAGGTTGTTAGTACTATTTAAATATTCTTTAAAATTTTTCATATATGTTACGTAAACTTTGTATATTTTACAATTTTAAAAAATAGTTTAGAAACTTGCTTGGCATAGGGCCTGGACTAAAGTTGGAACTCAGTATATAATAGATATTTTTTTAGTTAGTCTTATTATTAAACACATTTCTTAAGTATCTAGTAGGTACTAGGCTCTGTGATAAGCATCAGAGTTTAAAAATATAGCGAAATCATGTGTTTCCCATTGAGGAATTCCCAGTCTTGCACAGAGATAGCTACATGTATTATAAATAAACATAATGCAATTTGGTAGAGTGCTTGTACATGTTGGCAAGAAAAAACAGTGAACTAATATCCTTTATAATTCAATCAGATGTCCTTGGTATATAAGAGGTTGAGAGCACACACAGAAAACAGTTTCAAACCACAACTATCCATTGTTTAGTCTGAGATTATCATAATGACTGGGTTCTATTAACTATTTATTTGATTAAGATGTAAAATTATATAATAGCATGGTGAGAGCAAAAATGGTAGATTAAAGAATTTAAAAATTTTGTGCCCTTATAAAGGTAGCAATAAAACTGACCTTCAAAAAATGGTCAAACTCAACTTTTTCAGTACTCTAGAAACTAATCAAAAACTCATAGTAACCTGAGTTACTTAAAAAAAAAAATGCCAAATGTTAGTAAGAACAACAAGCATTTTGGCGCATTAACTTATGCCAGTTCCATACCTTGCTCCCTAGTTCAGCAATAGTCTTGAAAAGAACATACCACATTCATGGTATGGGAAAGAGCAGAATGGACCTTATCTGGAGATAGTCCTTATTTGAGCCATCTGATAACTCCCAGGAAAACCAATTCACAATTTATCTTGCCTATTATGGAACTGAGCCTCTACTGTAGTAGGGATGGCGAATTTATTTAAAATATTTACCTGCCACTGCTGCATGAAGCAATGGGTAACAGCTGGGGCAAACAGTAAACTAACCAGAAAGCTTTGGAAGAAAGGTTGGGAATGAGATGTTCATAAGGACTTCGAAAAACTCTTGACATATTTTCTGGAAATCCAGAAGGCTCTGTGCATATTTAGGACTGTGTGCATGCTCACAAACAACCAGAGACCCTAATCTCTCACCTCTACCTGACTTTGAGGATCTGAGCAAGCAGGGAATGAAGGCAAAAGAAAAGTTATAAGCTGCCTGGCTGAGTGTTCAAGACATGTTCCAACAGGCACACAGAGCCCTTCAGCAAATACTGAGCAATTTTTTGGTTTTAGGCATTTAAGGAAATCTTCATCCAATCATTACTTGACAATTAAGCTAATGAATCAGACATATAAGCGGTCACACATGACAAGACAGATTTTATAGAATGAGTTCATGAAACTCACTAAATATAATCACAGCTGTAAAAGGCAGCAACAACAAATGGGGTAAGGCAAGAGAATCTGATTTCCAACAGAAAGCCTAGATACTGAACTTACTAGGCAAAGATTTTAACTATTTTAAATATGCTCAAGGATTTAAGGAAACCAAGTCTGAAGAACTAAAGTATAAGAAGAGTGTCTCACCAAATACAGAATATAATAAAGAGATAGAATTATAAAAAGATTTTATAAATTTATAATTTTTAAAATTATAATTTAAAGTTACATTTTATAGAAATTAAGAAAAGAAACTTATTTGGACATGAGAATTACAGGACAGAAACAATTGACTATCAGGGATAAAAACAGTTTTGAGCAGCAGAAGAAAAATCTCAGAAACCTTGAAATTAGGTCAATTGAGATGTTCCAGTTTGAGGAAAAGGAAAAAAAAAAAAGTGAATGAAAGAAAATAGCCTCAGAGACCTCTGGGGCACCATCAACAATGTACAATGGGAGTCTCAGAGAAAAAAAGAAAGGATCTGAAAGAATATTTGAAGAAATATTGTCAGGATACTGGAAATTTGGTGTAACACATTACACATTCAGGAAGTTCACTGAGCTCCAAGTTGGATAAACTAAAAATATTTACACTGGGACACAACACAGTCAAACTGTTGTAAGCCAAAGGCTAAGAGGGAATCTTGAAAACACCAAGAGAGATGTAACTCATAATGTACAAGTGATCCTCCATAAGATTAATACCTAATTTCTCATCAGAAATTGTAGAAACCAAAAGGCATTAGATGGTATATTCAAAGTGCTGGGGGGGAAAAAACTTAGCACAGAATTCTATATTTGGCAAAACTGTCTGTAAACATATAGGAGAAATTAAGGCATTCCCAGATGAACAAAAGCTGAGAATTCATTGCGGGCAGACCTGCCCTAAGTGAGTGCTCAACAGAGTACTTGGAGCTGAATGAAAGGACACTAGACAAAAAAAAAAAAAAAAATCCACAAAAGACATAAAGTATAGCAAGGAAATCAAATACTTAGTAACTATTCTAAATCAGCTATATCTAATAGACATCAGTGGAACACTTAACCCAACAACAACAGGATACACATTCCTCTCAAGTGCACATGGAACACTCTCCAAGATAGACCATATGTTAGGCCACAAGTCTCAATAAATTTTAAAAGATTGAAATTATACAAAGTATGTTTTCAACCACAATGACATGAAATTATAAATTAATAACAGAAATGTTTTTAATATACAAATATGTGGAAATTAAACAACACACACACCCAGTGGGCCAAGGAAGAAATCACAAAGGAAACTAGATAATACTTTGAGATGAAAGTTTGTAATGAAACACCATAACAAATCTTATGAAATGCAGCAAAAATATTTCTAAGGGAAATTTATAGCCTACATTAAAGAGAAAGAAATAAATTAGTAACCTAATAAATAACCTTAAGAAACAGAAGAGCAAACTAAACCTAATGCAAGAAAGAAGGAAATAATAAAGATTATAACAGAGTCAAATAAAATAGAGACTAGAAAAAATGATACAGAAGATTAACAAAGCCAAAATTTAATTCTTTGAAAGGATAGAAACATTGACTAATTTTTAGCTGACTGAACAATAAAAAAAAAACACTCAAATTACTAAAATGTGAAAGAGGGGACATTACTACTGAATTTACAGAAAAAAGGATAACAGAATTAATAATAATATGCAAACAAGTGAAAGTGGACAAATATCTAGAAAAACACGAATTACAAAAATCAACTCAAGGAGAAATATAAAATCTGAATAGACCTATGGCAACAAGATGGAATCAGTAACCAAAAAACTCCCAACAACAACAAAGTCCAGTGAATTGCTTCACTGGTGAATTCACTAGTGGTTTCATGGGTGAATTCTACTAGATGTCATTACTGGTGAAATCTACTAGACATGCAAAAAGAAATTAATACTAATTCTAATCAAACTTTTCCCAAAAAAGAGGAGGGAACACACTCTAATGTGTTTATTCTATGAGGCTAATATTTGTTATTGGTACAACAAAGGCAGGCAAGACGTCACAAGAAAACTACAGTCCAATATCCCTTATGAATATCTATGCAAAATTCTCAACAATATACTAGCAAACAGAATCCAGCAATATTTTTAAAAATTATATGCTACAACCAAGTGAATTTGTCTCAGGAATATAAGGTCAATTAAATATATGAAAGGCAATTAATATACTACATCATATTAATAAAAACAAAACAAAATGTATGATCACCTCAATGATTGTAGAAATAGTATTTGATAAAATCCAGCACCAGCTAGGCATAGTGACTCATGCCTCCCAGGTTGAGTCTGCAGTGAGCCATGATTATGCCACTACACTCCAACCCCAATGACAGAGCGAGACTTAAATAAAAGAAACACCCTTTTATCATTTAAAAAAAAAAAAAAACACTAATAAAAGAGAACTTCCTCAAACTGATTAAAGGAATCTATAAATAAACACGCAGCTAACATTATACTTACTGGTGAAAAGTTGAAAGCTTTCTTCCTGAGATCATGAACAAGATATAGATGCTCAACAGTTCTATTCCACATTGTACTTGATATTATAGCTATAGCAATTAGCTGAGAAAAAGAAACAAAAGACACTTAGATTGAAAAGAAGTAAAACTATGTTGATTTGTAGATGACATGGTTATATATATACATATATATGTATTTATGTATATATACATACAAAATATCAAAAAATAAGTATAACATCCTAAAGAATGTTTTTAAAGAGCCCTAAAACTATTAGAACTAATAAGCTTAACAACATTGTAGGATATAAGTTCACTGTGCCAAATATCTGTTGTATACACTAGCAGAGAACAATCTGAACATTAAGAAAATTTCATTTACAGTAACACCAAAAAGAATAAAATACTTAAGAATAAACCACAGAAGTGAAATATTTATCCACTGGAAGCTACAAAATGCTGTTGAAAGAAATTAAAGATGACTTAAATAAATAGACATCCTATGTTCATTGATCAGAAGACTTATTATTACCATGACAATATCCCCCCAAACTGATCTACAGATTAAGTGCAATTCCTATCAAAATTTCATCTGCCTGGGTTTTTGTTTGTTTGTTTGTTTGTTTTTAAGAAATGGGCAAGCTGATTCTAAAATTTATTTGGATATACAGAGGAACTGTAAATAGCCAATCCAACTTGAAACTTCCCAATATCAAAACTTATTACAATGTTCTAGTTATCAAAATAGTGTGGTACTGGCATAAGAAGAGACATACAGTTCAATGGAATAAAATTTAAGAGTCCAGAAATAAACCTATATATCTATGCTCAATTGATTTTTTTAACAAGGCTTCCAAGACCATTCAATGAGGGAAAGAATTGTCTTTTTAAAAAATGGGGCTGTGACAACTGGAAATCTATCCTTATGTCATATACAAAAATTAACTAAAAATAAATGAAAGATCTGAATATAAGAGCTAAAACTATAAATCTCTCAGAAGGAAATGTAGATGGTCTTATGTTAGGTAACAGTTTCTTAACTATGACACCAAAAGTGCAAGCATGCAAAGAAAAGATAAATTGGTTTTTATTAAAATTTTAAAATTTATGCATTAAAGGACTCTATCAAGAAAGTAAAAAGACAACCCACAAGTCTTCACAAAACTTTTATGTAAATATTCCTAGCAGCATTTACAATAACTGAAAAATGGAAACAACCCAAATATCCATCAGTTAATGAATGGATAAACAAAATGTGATACATCCATGCAATGAAATATTACTCATTTATAAAAAAGAAGAAACTACTGATACACACTACAACATGGATGAATCTTGAAAACATTATTCCAATTAGAAGACAGACACAAAAGGCTATATATAATTTGATTCCACTTTAATGAAATCTCCAGAATAGGCAAATCCACAGAGACATAAAGTAGATTAGCAGTTTCCAGGGGATAGGGAGAGGAACTGATCTGGAAGAGACTGTTAACAGATACTTTTTGGGGTGATAGAAATGCCCTGGAATTACAGTGATGATGGTAGCACAGTATTGAATATACTAAAAGCCACTGAATTGTGCTCTTTTTAAAATGGTATATTTTATGTTATATGAATTTTTTCTCAAAGTAAATTACAAGTGTAATGGAATTAAAACAGGCCAGATTGCATGTCTTAATTGTGATCTTATTGTGGTTTTGTGATTTGATGGCCTCTTTTGAAAACCAAAAATTAAGGGATATTTTCCTTGAACCTGGCAATAGTACTGATACATAATTGTCCAGTCTTGGAATATTTATCAGTTTTTTTAACACACTATGGACTTTAAAATAAATATATAAGTAAAATGCAGAGTCATATGTTAATATTGAATACTTGCAGCAGGTCAGTTAATTTTTCCTAATTTAGTTAAATATGCTGTTTAGATAATATTATAAATAGGCCAACATAATGGTTACTTTGGGGCTGTAATTGTATTAAGCACAATTACGTATCATCTTGAAATTGCATACTTCACCTCTGAGAGAGTGTGCTTTGGAAGATAGATAATATAATTATGTATTTTTGCAGGTCCAAATATGAAATTACTATAAACTAGCTGAGAAATGAATGTAATATTAATAATTATATTCATAACAGCATATTAGTCTATCAAATCCAACTAACCTTAATGTCAATGAACATTAAAAATAAAACTTTCTTAGCACTGACAATTTAATAAATAAAAATAAATGGTACTAAGCTTACAAAACTTAGCTGAATTGGGGAAATTGTTGATAGGGCCAAAAGTATATATTTGCATGCTTTGAGGGGATGTAGCATTTTTTGGCAATGTTACATTATTGTGAATTTAACAGTGAAAGTTGAAACCAGTCTAGGATTTCAAAGTTGATAACTTTGCTATCAGGAAATTAATTTACTTAAATATGTTCTTTGTTTCTATCAGTGTCAGCATCTGAAATTCCACTGGAGAAACATTAGCTTTGGCCAGCTAAAAGCAAAATGACAAAAAGCAAGAGTGCAAGCCAGCATCAAAAGTTGGGTCTCCTGTGTTGAGATGCCATGAGTCTTTCTGGGGCTATCATCTATATTAGTCTAATTTTTGGGATTCAGGCAAGAGCTCACCACTGTCGTGCTAGCTGTGTTTTCAGTGCAGTGAAAGGTAAAATGATAATGATGGTTGAACTGAGGTAGAAAAATGCATTTACCTTAGAAGCTAAGTCTTAGAAAGGACACCAAAGATTTGATTAGTATTCCACATAGTTGCCATACATATTTAATTGCAGACTAGGAATCTTTCTTGCTTAAAACTATTAGATCCTTTCACAAAGATATAAACAAAGTAAGCATTAAAAAGCCAAAAAGGTACTGCCAAAAAAGAAAATAAACAACAAAAACAGAAGCAGCATCGCAATGTACCCTGCCTTTATTCTAAATCTTACAAAAAAGGAAACAATTTCTCCACTGAGCTGAATATTAATAGGTTAACATAATGAATCATATAATTTACAAACCATAATAGAATTTGCATTAACCAAAAAATGTGCAAATTCACTACTATGATTTACCAAAAGACTCCTGCAAGTGATAAATCATTAGCTATGGTGTTGCTCTTTGTAACCTCTGGTCTCTGGGGGACAGTGCAGAATTAGTATTGCTTCCTTCTTTCTGTGCATGATAACGGTAGGGGAAGGATAGTACCATCTCTGTCATATATCAAATTCCCATATGTGAATAAACTTATGTATTTTTACTGCACTCTTTTTATAGATTTATTCATTCCTGCACTAACAATGAATGTCATTATTATAAGCTCAGAATAAGTCTCAATATATGACACAGTGCTTCATTTTCTTTTCTTCATCTATAGTGCCTTAGCCATTCTTGGCTTTCTGCCATTCCACAAATAGCAATGTATATTTGTCAGTATAATAGAGAATCCACTTATATTTCTTCA